AAAAGCCGACGCTATATTTAAAGAATAGCGTCGGCTTTTCCGACGCTAAACTTAAAATAAATTTAAACGTCGGAAAAGCTGACGTTATATTTAAATAATATACGTGCTTTCAGATAGATAAAAATAATTTTTTCAATGTTATATACGCATAATGTGTTCTAGTACACTTGGTTATCAAGTTCACTTAAGACCTCAAGGTTCACGGATCGAGTCCCAGGAATGTTAAAAATACGAACGAATAAATGATAAGCGAGAAAAAGAAGATAAATAAAAAAATAAAATAAAATTTGTGTCAACATAGTGTCGGCTTAATCAACAATAAAAAATTAAAATAAATAAATTTATTAGTGACGGCTTAGCCGACACAAAAAAAATTGTGTCGACTTATTTAGCGTCGGCCTAAAACCGACGAATAACCGACAATATTGCGTCGGCTTTTATGATTTAGAGTCGGATTTTGGCCGACTCTAAATTGAAACATTCTTGTAGTGTTGCACTTGCCTTTTCTGAACCTATCAGACAAGGGTTTGTAATCAAAACATATATCACAAAGGAATTTCGAGGACAGACCACTCTTCTTTGCTTCACCGTGATCATGATCATGATCAAGACGGGGTTTGTTCTTGAACAAAATTTTAGCAGCTGCTGAGTGATGAGGCTTCTCATTTGAGTTCACGGGGAGTTTAAAATCCTAGCCAAAAAGGAAAAAGTAGAATGAAGCAGAAAAGGGTACTTAGTTATCGATGGAATTGAAGGCAGTGATCATGTAGAATTCATTTTGAGTTCTTAATATATTTTTAAAAGTTGATTCTTGTGTCTACACGTGAAAATCAAGTCACTGAACTCCAATCGCGGAAAAAAAAATCAGAATGCACTTATATAAGAAACCCTCATCCGATTCAACAGTGAGTGACGAATATATGTGGTCTTTTGCTTTATTAAAATTATGAAGAGAAAATATTTTTAACTGATGAACTTGAAATTGAGGTTTCAGAGTCTTACCCCTAGTCCGGTTTTAGGAATAGCGAGTGCGCTAACGGCGGTTTTGTGAGCATGGTGGTTGGCGAAGGCGAACTCCGTGCGGCTGGATCGGCGTACGTACTTGCGTTTAGTTCCTAATGAAAACTGTGCTTCCTTCGCCATTGCCACAAACCCTATAAACTCGTGCATGGAAGTCAAATGGCTATAGATTAACAACAAAGGTATATTAGATATATAAATGGTAATTCTAGGATTTTTTTTTCTCCAAAAATTTTGGACAATTTTATCCTTACAACAACTTTAAAACTACTCTTTTCCAATTTCTCTCTCCCACTATTAAAACCACTCTCTTCCACTTTCTCCCTCCCACTATCTTTTTTTTATATTTAATTTCTATTTTTTTCCTACTTCATGCAAATTTCCAACTAATCACTTATTTATAAACTTATAGTAATGTAAACTAACATTACTTCATGAAATGAAGGTAAATGAAATTATGGATGTCTTCGTCACTCCAAGTAGGATGTTAGTTCCTTCCTTGATGTTGTTGGATTTACAAAAGTGTTATCATCATTCATTCAAAGAGATATATAGGAGTTTCATACAAGAACGACTAAATTTATATGATTTTCATTTTTCAATATAACGGAGTCACAAAATTCAGTAGACAATTCTTATCAAATAGAAAATCTAATTCGTAAATTATTATTTATATTTGCATTATAAACAAAAAAAAAAATATAACTAGAAGGCTATCCTGAATTTAATATTATTAAGACTAAAATTAACACACACAAAAGTAATTATAAGTTGGTATATTTTTTATTTATAATTTATTATTATTATTATTATTTTGAAAAAATATATCTAGGGCAGAAAAACAAGATAAAACATTATCCTAAATTTAATATTATTAACATAAGATTAAAATTAAAATTAGGAATTAAGATTTAGATATAACTAAGCTTGTATATTTTTTTGCATCTTTAAAAAAACATTATCTAGTTTGTCATCCGTAGCCACGTACGTGTCACGCTGCATGTCGAGCTTCATCACCACATGCTGCCACCTTTCCATGCACTAGTAATTTACACTCACACACCCTCCGATACACCGCCACGTAACTCTCCCAAACCTAGAATGGTGACCGAAGAAAACACCATTAAAAGCGAGGCAGAAGAAGATCAAGTTGAAACACGAAAATGGTGGCCCCGTCTCTTGCTTCACTCTTTCTCTGCCCTAGAAAGCCACCAAGTCACGATTCAGGACGTGGCTACGAAGCTGAGGCTTGGCGACAACGAGGTTCTGCGCACGAAGAAGAAGTTCAAGGTTTTCATGGAGAATTACGGGAAAAGGTACTCCACTAGGGAAGAGTATTTGCGCCGTTTAGGGATTTTCGCACACAACTTGGTCAGAGCGGCGGAGTACCAGGCGCTCGACCCCACTGCCGTCCACGGCGTCACGCAGTTCTTCGATCTCACCGAGAACGAGTTTCAGCGGTTCTATACCGGCGTCAATGGCGGCTTCCCGTCGAATAATGGTGTAGCGCGGCCGCTTGAGGTGGATGACCTGCCAGAGAATTTTGATTGGAGAGAGAAAGGAGCTGTCACTGAAGTCAAAATGCAGGTCTATATAAACTTAGGGTTTCATTTTTCTTCCTCTCATCAGAATTATTTGTTTTTGCCTTAATTAAGTGCATGTGCTTATATATTTTTTTAGTGTTTTGATTTTAATTAACACTTTTGTTATGCGTGCAAACTTTTGACTTAAAAGTAAGTTGAAAAGGCTCGCAAAATAATTACCCCTTAAAAAAGCACGAAAGGGTTTGGGGTTGGGGGAATACGAATTTCCACATAATTTTATATGTATGAAATTTTGTTTACTTATAATGTGTTTGGTTGCACCTTGTCGACATGATTTTCACCTATAACTTCAGAAGTTAATAGGATGTGATTCTTTTTGTTTTCTAATGTGTTTCCGAACATGCATTTAGTTGAAATTGAATTTGAATACGTTTTCTAACGTGTTTCCAAACATTTCATTTAGTTGAAATTGAATATCTGCATCCCCTTTTCTTTTTTTCTCCAAGATTGGAAATACTGTTTCTTTTTTTCTCCCAAGATTGGAAAGTTTTACATATCCGTACCTTGTGTTCTACAATTTCACAAAAGATTGGAAATACTGAGTTTTACATGTCCGTACGGTTGTGTCCTTGTTTTCTACAATTTCACGAAAGATGGAAATACCGTGTTTTACATATCCGAAATTCGGTTTAGATTGTGTCCTTGTTTTCTACAATTTCACAAAAGATGGAAATACTGTGTTTTACATATCCGAAATTCGGTTTTACATATCCGAAATTCGTTTGTGTCCTTGTGTTCTACAATTTCACAAAAGATTGGAAATACTGTGTTTTACATGTCCGTACGGCTGCGTCCTTGTTTTCTACAATTTCACGAAAGATGGAAATACTGTGTTTTACATATCCGAAATTCGGTTTAGATTGTGTCCTTGTTTTCTACAATTTCACAAAAGATGGAAATTCGGTTTTACGTATCCGAAATTCGGTTTTACATATCCGAAATTCGGTTGTGTCATTGTTTTCTACAATTTCACAAAAGATGGAAATACTGTTTTACATATCCGAATTTACATACTGGAAATTCGGTTTTACGTATCCGAAATTCGGTTTTACATATCCGAAATTCGGTTGTGTTGTTTTCTACAATTTCACAAAAGATGGAAATACTGTGTTTTACATATCCGAATTTACATACTGGGTTTAGGGTTTAGGGTTTAGGGTTTAGGGTTTAGGGTTTAGGGTTTAGGGTTTAGGGTTTAGGGTTTAGGGTTTAGGGTTTAGGGTTTAGGGTTTAGGGTTTAGGGTTTAGGGTTTAGGGTTTAGGGTTTAGGGTTTAGGGTTTAGGGTTTAGGGTTTAGGGTTTAGGGTTTAGGGTTTAGGGTTTAGGGTTTAGGGTTTAGGGTTTAGGGTTTAGGGTTTAGGGTTTAGGGTTTAGGGTTTAGGGTTTAGGGTTTAGGGTTTAGGGTTTAGGGTTTAGGGTTTAGGGTTTAGGGTTTAGGGTTTAGGGTTTAGGGTTTAGGGTTTAGGGTTTAGGGTTTAGGGTTTAGGGTTTAGGGTTTAGGGTTTAGGGTTTAGGGTTTAGGGTTTAGGGTTTAGGGTTTAGGGTTTAGGGTTTAGGGTTTAGGGTTTAGGGTTTAGGGTTTAGGGTTTAGGGTTTAGGGTTTAGGGTTTAGGGTTTAGGGTTTAGGGTTTAGGGTTTAGGGTTTAGGGTTTAGGGTTTAGGGTTTAGGGTTTAGGGTTTAGGGTTTAGGGTTTAGGGTTTAGGGTTTAGGGTTTAGGGTTTAGGGTTTAGGGTTTAGGGTTTAGGGTTTAGGGTTTAGGGTTTAGGGTTTAGGGTTTAGGGTTTAGGGTTTAGGGTTTAGGGTTGTCTTTTATTGGTCTTTGTTAGATCTGAAATCCCATCCCAAATTAGAAATCCTTTTAATGATCAAAATCGTGGTCTTTTATTGATTCCCAATTTGTTAGATCTGAAATTTCAAATTATTGTTAAATGTGAAATCCCAAATTAGAAATGATTTATCCGAAATCCCAAATTAGAAATCCTTTTAATGATCAAAATCGAAATCCGAAATCCTAAATTGTTGTGAATGATTAAATTATTATTAATGATTAAATAAATTATTTCCTCCTATGAATTATTTAATAAAAATTATCCTAAATCTCAAATTTGAAATGATCCAAATTAGAAATGCTTTTATTGATTAAATCCCAAGTTATTGTTAATTATCAAATCCCTATAATTAGAAATGATTAAATCCTAAAATCCCAAATTAGAAATCCTAAATTATTGTGAATGATTAAATCCTAAAATCCCAAATTAGAAATCCTAAAATCCCAAATTAGAAATCCTAAATTATTATTGTTAATGATTAAATTATTATTAATGATGAAATAAATTATTAATAAATTATTTCCTCCTCTGAATTATTTAATAAAATTATCCTAAATCTCGAATTATTATTATCTCCAAGGTAACTTCTAAATGATTAAATAAATCCTAAATTTTTAGATCCGAAATCCCAAATTAGAAATCCTAAATTATTGTTGATGATTCCCAAATTGTTAAATCCGAAATCCCAAATTATAATTGTTAATCATTAAATTATCATTAATGATTAAATCCTAAATCTCAAATTATTATTATCTCCAAGTTAACTTCTAAATGATTTAATAAATCCTAAATCCCAAATTATTGAAATATTTCTTGAGTATAATTAAATAAATCCTAAATTCTAAATCTCTTTATTTTTATTTCCGACCCCAAATTAGAAATCCTAAATTATTGTTAATGATTAAATAAAAATAAATTGAAAATCCCAAATTATTGTTAATGATTAAATAAATTTGAATTATATTTTCTTTGAATGTTTAAAGTAAATCCTAAATCCCAAAAATTTTAAAATTTTGGATTATTTCCTCCCCTGAATTATTAAATAAAATTATCCTAAATATCAAATTATTATTATCTCCAAGTTAACTTCTGAATGATTAAATAAATTCTAAATCCCAAATTATTGAAATATTTCTTGAATATAATTAAATAAATCCTAAATTCTAAATCTCATATTATTATTATTTATGACTTAACCTCTGGATTATTAAATAAATCTTAAATCCCAAAGTTATCGAATTATTTTCTGAAATTTTTAAATCCCAAACAAATGCCAAATTATTGTTAATTCCCACCAATATAATATCAATTTTTTTTCATATGCTATAATCTTAATTAGGATAAATTAATCTTTTTGTTTAATTAGTTCAATATAGTCTTGTCTTTCTGTTCAATTGACATTAGCAACATTGATTTCTTGTACACATGACAAGTATGTGTCATTTTATTATTGTGCCACGTTTTCATAGAGTTAATGTCATAGTCTCAATTGAATCGAAAGGACCAAATTAAACTTTTTTTTATAGTAATTTAGCTTATCAATTATGGTGATGATTGTTTTCTTTTTGACCAAATTTGATTTTTAAAGAAGAATAAATTACATTTAATGTTATCCTTTGTCAATTTTTTGTTTTTTATACACTTTTTTTTTTATCATCAAACATTATTCTTTAACGTTTAGGTTAAACTAATAAAGAAAAGTATAACAAGCAAAATTAGTGATACCGAAAAGTATAGAAGGGTGAATTGAAAAGGTGCAAAATTACAATAAGTAATTTGTCCTCTAAAAAATGACTTTGAAGATCGAACACAAAGAAACCTATCTCAAGGTTGCTTTAATACCAAATTAATTGGTTAGTTTTTCTTGCTGTGCAACAAGAGACTATACCTTGTTGATGGGAGGAAGAGGGTCCATGAGCATGATTTGGGAGTTGGGACCTTACGGTGGAATATTGCTCATTCAAACCTCTCAAAAATCTCACCGTAGTTTTAGTATTTCTATGCTTGTTGAGATTCATGAGAGCATCACAGGTGCACTTTGCGTTGCATATGCAGGTGGGTATAGGATCCAAGATTTCAAGCTCATCCCATAAGGTTTTCATACTCGTATAATACTTTGTAATTGATAGATCACCTTGCTTAAGGCTATAGATTTCTTCTTGAATTTCTGAAATTCTAAAAAGATCTGCATGTGATAATCTTTCCTTTAATTCTGCCCAAACCTCTGATGCTTTGCTTCTCCATATAATTGATTGGGCAATTTCTGCACTTATCGAACGAACTAACCATCCAAGAACCATAGTATTGCAGCGCTGCCAGAATGCACGAATAGAACTATTGGCACTTGGTTCTTGAATGCTTCCATCTATGAAACCTTCTTTATTCTTTGTCAACAAGCTCATCATCATTGATCTAGACCAAGTGTGATAGTTGGTATCTGTAAGAGGTGGAGATACAAGAACCATTGAAGGATTCTCATTGGGATGAATGTAGTATGGACTTGTGGGGGTCTTTCATGTCCTCCAAGGTAAAGTCGATATCCATGAAACTGATGAAGATGCGCAGCAGAGCTTTCCTATACCATAACAGGTTTTAAAGAAAAGGAAAAAAAAGAGAGGGAGAACCAAAAGAAAGAAAAATATTGTATTATGATAGATTGGCTACAAAAGTGAAAAGAATACCTATTTGTACAAAACAGAAAATAAAACTAAACTAAAACTAAAACAAAAAAAGCTAACAGAAACTAAAAATACATAAAAGAAAAACTAATAATTTGGTATTATGCTTCTATTTTATTTTATGTAACAAATATAATTCTTAATAGAAAACAAAAAAGGTTAAACACTGGCAAGGACTAATGTGCACTCATTTTCTGTAGTGTGTATATGTTAAATATCAAAATAATTAAACCAAAAAGGACAAAATATCCTTTGTAAAACTCTACTAAAAACACATATTTGCTTTGTGATTGTAACAAGTTTTAAGCTTGTTCTGACCATGGTTACTCAAATTAGATACAATATGAGCATGTTGTCAATTTTGAATTGTCCATGATCATATTGTACTTCTTATATGGGTGAATTCTGTATTTTTCTGTTTTTTTTTGTTGAAGGCATGATTACGGGTGGTGCGGGAGCAACCGTTTTCTACAATTTGAGGCAAAGACACCCAACTCTTGACATGCCTGTGATTGACTATGACTTAGCACTTCTTTTTCAACCAATGTTGATGCTTGGAATCAGTATTGGAGTTGCTTTCAATGTGATTTTCCCTGACTGGATGCTAACAACTTTGTTAATAGTAGTTTTCATAGGTATGAATTGCTTAAGGTTGAATCTGTGCTCTAGTTTTTTTTTCTTTGCTTACTTATCATATGATGTAGTCTGGACTCTGGATGTGTAACAGGCCTTTCAGTCAATGCATTCTTAAAGGGTGTCCAAACATGGAAAAAAGAAACCATTATTATGAAGGTTGCTTAAACATACCTCATCCTTATAAATTAAATTTACTTGAATTAATACACAATTTAGTCTCTGAAAGTAAAGCACTTGTGTTCTTTCATCCTTGAAATATTTCTTCTATATAAATGGTTATCAAAAGTGTCAATTTGGTAACAAGTTTATCCTACTTATAAGTGTTCAACTTGTAAACAAATACATCCCTTAAAGGACTAACATAGACATGCACTTTTTAAGGACCAAAGCAATTCAAGATGTCACTTTCATGGACTAAATTGAATATTAACATAATTTATTTATTTTTTTTGAATTTTATTGCTTTGATTTAATGCATCCAAATTGTATTTCCAGGAAGCTAGGCAGAATTCACGGCTAAATGGTAAGTGTTTTGATTTTTTTTTTTTTTTTTTCTGATATAAACTAGTATAGCAGTCATCAAGCATGTCATGCTAATTTTCAGTCCAATCAGATAATGGAAGAACCGATAAAATGCTGCACAACTTCAAACAGAAGACACGGTCAATGGAAGTCAAACAAATACCAACCAACCAAGGAAAAAAGTAGTGGAAAATGCAGATTGTTGCTGCTAGTATTTCCGTGTTCGACGCCTATTCTTTCTAATAAAATCTTAAACTGCTCTGCAGGTTTCTGTTATTGACAATATTTATTGGAAGGAACTTGGACTTCTTGTAACTGTGTGGATCTTGATACTTGCACTACAGATAGGAAAAGTTAGTGTCTAATGAGCTTTTCAACTCATTTTTTTTAATTAACATTTTTGGTACATTAATTTAAATATTTGTTTTTCGGTATATCAGTTTTTCATTTTATTGCATGTATTGAAGATCATTGGTGAACTTAGATTGATGCTAATATATGCCTTTTTTTTTTGAAACAGAATTACATTACAAATTGCTCAGCTATGTATTGGGTATTGAATCTAATTGCAGGTACACACTACTACACATTAAGAGCATCTCTAGTGGAGGTTTAGTGGAGGTTGCTTATAAGCAACGATGTTCTTAACGGCTAGAAATCAAAGTTTTCTTATAGTTCCCACTCTCCAACTTAATCAAGCCAATGTGGGGTTATGAAATCAAGTGTTGAACATCAAGATTTTGATTTGGCCTTAACTTCAAATTTGGATGCAGAACCTGAACCATTGAACCACCAATATAATATCAATTTTTTTTCATATGCTATAATCTTAATTAGGCTAAATTAATCTTTTTTTTTTTTTTAATTAGTTCAATTTAGTCTTGTCTTTCTGTTCAATTGACATTAGCAACTTTAATTTCTTGTACACATGACAAGTATGTGCCATTTTATTATTGTGCCACGTTTTCATAGAGTTAATGTCATAGTCTCAATTGAATCGAAAGGACCAATATTAAACTTTTTTTTTTTAGTAATTTAGCTTATCAATTATGGTGATGATTGTTTTCTTTTTGTCCCCTTGTGTTTCAGGTCCCTGTCACTGTTGGAACAACTTTATATGAAGCCGTGCTTCTATATACAAAGGGCAGAGAGTGATATCCTCAAAGGGTGATCAACAAACACGTTTGAGTGAACGGCAAATAATTCTATATTGCACTTGTGGCATACTTGCTGGCATAATTTGTGGTTTGCTTGGCCTTGGTGGAGGATTCATCTTGGGACCCCTTTTCATTGGATTAGGAATTCCTCCTCAGGTACGTACGTTTTATCCTTGTATGACTATTTTAATGTTGGTCCACCTGGAACTCACTCATTGGGATTTTTTTCTACCAAAGTTTCAAGTGCTACATCCACTTTTGCAATGACATTTTCTGCATCTATGTCAGTGGTGGAATATTACCTTCTCAAACGTTTCCCGATTCCTTACGGTAAGTACGGATCAATGGACATAAATTAAAGGAATTAGAGGAGTAATTCTATCATTTCCACGTGCAGACACATAGTTAGGCCCAAGTGATTAATTACTTGGTTAAAAGAAAGAATAAATAATATATGTAGTGACAGAATAAATAGTGTAATATTATCATAAGCTGTCATGTCATGCAAAATTACTTGACTTTTATACCAGACTGTTGTGAAATATAGTGGAGGATTATGTTTCCGATGGTGGGGTGGCAGTTCCGGTGATGGCGATACCAAGTTCTTGTGGTGATACTACAAGGTCTTCAGTATATAGATCAAGTATATTCAAAAGAGAGTGAATACATAGTGTAGGAGTCTCTTTATATAAGGTGATTTATGCGAAAAAGTTTTGTTACGTAGTTATGTTATATGGCTATTGTCATTGTTAATTCATGTGTCATGTGTTAAGTCTATTTTTTTAACGTAAAACCTTAATTCGGTTTTATCTAAGACTCATATTAGATAAATCCTGACTAGTTATATCTTTTAAAGGGGTAGATCGAACATAAGTTGGACCGACCTCCACAACAAAGATGATATCTTTTATTTAGATAACTATTAAACTAAAATCTAAAAGAAGGAGGTTGTTACACTAAAAGTACAAATTAAATTACTTGCTAATATGTTTTGATTATCATGCAGCACTTTACTTTGTAGCTGTAGCCACTGCTGCTGCACTTTCTGGGCAGCATTTGGTGAGAAAGCTTATTGCTATACTGGGGAGAACCTCTTTGATCATTTTCATCCTTGCGCTCACAGTTTTTGTGAGTGGCAAGTGCAATTTTCGGAGATTCTTTTGGATTCTTCCTTTTAGTGATCAGGGGTACTACTGTATCAGTACTATATTACTAACTTGTGGCTGCTGTTTACTCATTATTTTATTAAAATACAAAAGACAACTTGTCTTGCTTTTGGTTATAGTGAGTAAAAAATATGAATAAAATATCAATGAATTTAGGCTGAATCAGTTGGAATATACTCATATGATAAAAGTTTTCAAAGTAGTTTTTTTTATACAAAAATTTAATAATAATTTATTCTTTTGCCACACCATCTCATTCATCAACATGATTTGGTAATAAGATGATGAGTTAATAACACAATGCATTTCAAATTACACAAATAGTGAGCATACATTTTTACTTGCTTACTTCAAAAAGAAAATTACTTTAGAGAAAACACATGCTTTCACATTCCAAGTAGTATATTACAAATTTACAATGACTTAACTTTTTTTTTCTTTTTTTCTTTTCCAAATTACAGGTGGAGTAGGCATAGCAAACTTCAATATTAAAAGGGTTGAAAAGAAGGAGTACATGGGGTTTGAAGACCTTTGCTCGTACAGGGTTAGAAATTAAAGATGGAGATGTGTAGTTTCTAAGCTAAACCCTTCACAACAGTTTTGTGTTTTCCAGAATTGTATTAAGAAATTTATCTTTGTTTCTTAACTAAACTAATTGATTATTCAGTAGAAATCTATGACTATTTTAAAGCCGCACTACCAATTAAGTTTAATTAATGTACAACTTTGTGTAAAACATTTTTAATTTTAGCAAATAAATTGTTTATATCAATTATATTCTATAAAACACAAATTTTTGATATATTCACACACGTTTTCCATAAATTCCATACATATTAATTATAATATCTATTGTTGATTTTTTAATCAATTATTATTATTGTATTTTATTCTCTAAAGTAAAATTTTCTCACTTTAGAGGAGTCAAATCCAAAAATTTACATAACAAATTTTTAATAATTATTAATCATTATTATATTTTTGTAATATTATAAAAAAATTGTTATTGAAAATAATTCTAAAAAATATACCAAAGATAAATTTGGTTAAAAATATTTTAATAATTACTGATGATTATTATATTTCTACAAAATTCAATAGTTATGCAGAAATCTGCAAAATAAGAGAAAAAATTGGATAAATACTATTTTGAAAATTCTCTTCTTAACATTAATTAGCACATAATAATTAATCATTTTGAAGGTGACTATATTTGTTAGATAGAATTATGGAGATTAAATGTATTTGTCATTCATATAAGAAATATATTTGAATTTAATCATAAGAATCTTTATCCGGTATAAAAATGATTCTTTCGATCAAAAGATAACAAATTCTTAATATTTAAACTTTTTAATATTTTATCCATTTTAATTATTTGGGTTTAAAAGCTAATTATCAAAAAAATTTTACATGTACTTATAAGAAAAACAAAATTCACGTCCTTATTAATTAATATATATTTTAATATTATTTACAAAGAAATTTTCAAAAATTTATAATAACAAATTAGTATATATTTATTTTTAAACATTATTTTTTACTTATCTTAATATTATTATATTTTATATTAACTATTGTTGTCGATTTTTAATTATATAATCAATTGAATACCAAATTATTCAACTAATCAAAATAAATTATGCATTACATGAATATCAAATCTTGTAGTACACAAAATGTTTAATTTTTTTATATTTTTTTTTGTCTTTTGAAGTGTTATAGTTCCATAAATTTTATTTTTTATTCTTTAACAATAAACGATAAAGAATAAAAGAAAACAAAATAATATGTGTAAAGATGAAAATTAAATATTTTGAACTATAAAAATTAAAATATAAAATACGTGAAATTATATTTAAAAAATAATTAAACCTTTGTATTTTTAACAACGTGTACGTTATCAAAAACCTTATTATTCCATGCACTCAATCGGTTACAGTTATCATCTTGGTGACTGAGTAGAGTGTATCTAGGGTTTGTGGCGATGGGAAAGGAAGCACAGTATTCATCCCAGACAGAGTCCACACCTTTCAAGCGCAAGTACGCCCCTCACACCGCCATCCAAACCAAGCGTACCAAGCCCGAATACGGTGCTCCTTCCATTTCCTTTGATTCCATCGGTAACTAACTACCCCTTCTAGCTTCATTCTCTTTTTCTCTTTCAGGTTAGGGTTAGAATCCACCACTAAATTTATGTATATTATTTTATCTATCAATTAAGCTGATCTTATTGATTTTCTAGGTTAGGTCATCTCCTCAATAGAGTTTCTAACTATGTTCTTAAATATAAGAACTGGTTTTTATAAAATTTATAGTTGTTACATGTTGACGTGAATAACACAATTTAAAAGCCTTTTTTTATATAAAAATCATCGGAGCATTTCTAATAGTAGAATCTATTTTGTATTCTTAATGCAGTTTTTATGGATTTCTTTACCTCACTTAGGATTGAAGAACTTTTTCTATGAAAAAACTTAATTTGAGGTCGTAATCCACTTTATCCATGTTTCATAATGGATTCATTTCTTCCTTCTTTTTTTTTTTTTTTTTTTTTTTTTA